GAAGCGCCAAAACGGTGAAAAAATAAAAGTCGTTGACCTTCCTAAATTGTAGTGACGTCACTGCCATTTATTTTTAGTTCAACATAGCCTCAGTGGCCAAGTGGTAAGGCGTCGGTCTCGTAAACCGAAGATCATGGGTCCAAACCCCATCTGAGGCTAAATTAGAAGTAGTTTTTGATTGGAAGTATTCCACAAATCTCATTTGAATCGCCAAAACGGTGAAAAAATAAAAATCATTGACCATCCTAAATTGTCGTGACGTCACTGCCATTTTTTTATCATAGCCCTAGTGGCCAAGTGGTAAGGCGTTGGTCTCTTAAACCGAAGACCATGGGTTCGAACCCCATCTGAGACTAAATTAGAAGTAGTTTTGGATTGGAAGTATTCCACAAATCTCATTTGAAGCGCCAAAACGGTGAAAAAATGAAAGTCATTGACCTTCCTAAATTGTAGAGACGTCACTGCCATTTATTTTTAGTTCAACATAGCCTCAGTGGCCAAGTGGTAAAGCGTCGGTCTCGTAAACCGAAAATCATGGGTTCGAACCCCATCTGAGGCTAAATGAGAAGTAGTTTTGGATTGGAAGTATTCCACAAATCTCATTTGAAGCGCCAAAACGGTGAAAAAATGAAAGTCATTGACCTTCCTAAATTGTAGAGACGTCACTGCCATTTATTTTTAGTTCAACATAGCCTCAGTGGCCAAGTGGTAAAGCGTCGGTCTCGTAAACCGAAAATCATGGGTTCGAACCCCATCTGAGGCTAAATGAGAAGTAGTTTTGGATTGGAAGTATTCCACAAATCTCATTTGAAGCGCCAAAACGGTGAAAAAATAAAAGTCATTGACCTTCCTAAATTGTAGTGACGTCACTGCCATTTATTTTTAGGTCAACATAGCCTCAGTGGCCAAGTGGTAAGGCGTTGGTCTCGTAAACCGAAGATCATGGGTTCGAACCCCATCTGAGGATTAATTAGAAGTAGTTTTGGATTGGAAGTATTCCACAAATCTTATTTGAAGCGCCAAAACGGTGACAAAATAAATGTCATTGACCTTCCTAAATTGTAGTGACGTCACTGCCATTTATTTTTAGTTCAACATAGCATCAGTGGCCAAGTGGTAAGGCGTTGGTCTCGTAAAGATCATGGGTTCGAACCCCATCTGAGGCTAAATTAGAAGTAGTTTTGGATTGAAAGTATTCCACAAATCTCATTTGAAGCGCCAAAACGGTGAAAAAATAAAAATCATTGGCCTTCCTAAATTGTAGTGAGTTGAATGGAAATTACCAGAAAACGGTATCTTCGCTCGATTTTATTTTAAATGAATCTTTTCTTCAACAAAAACCGCGAAAATTAGTTGCATGCGAAAATAAAGTATTTTACAGTTCTATTATTTCAAAATGTATTTGATATTGTAATGAATGCCAATTTATTTATGTAAGAACATGACATGAACAATGTTTGATTAACATGATATTTACCATGACGTCATGTGTGGCGGATACAGAGATGTCGATTTTTCATAGGCCTTCCTAAATTGTAGTGACGTCACTGCCATTTATTTTCAGTGCTCCAAAGCCTCAGTGGCCAAGTGGTAAGGCGTCGGTCTCGTAAATCGAAGATCATGGGTTCGAACCCCATCTGAGGCTAAATTAGAAGTAGTTTTGGATTGGAAGTATTCCATAAATCTCATTTCTCATTTGAAGCGCGAAAAGGTGAGAAAATAAAAACCGGGAAAAACATGGATCGTCGAAATAAGAGCTAATTGGAAGTATTCCATAAATTTCATTTGATGCGCCAAAAAGGTGAGAAAACAAAAACCGGAAAGCACATGGATGGTCGGTATAACATCTGGTTGAAAATATGACAATGGACATGAAACAAAATGACGAACTTTGAAGTACCAGAGAGGGTGCAGTTTAGAAGCACTTGCTGAATTCGGTGAACATACTGCAAACAAAAATATGTTAGCTGGGATTAATATCCGCTGAAAAGACTTTTTGAGTGTTTTGCATAATATTTATTTTCACTGATTTTGACGACTTGAATGTAAAATGCAGCTAATGAAAACGGTATACTTGTTACGATTTTATTTTAACTGAATCATTTCTTCACCGAAATCTGCGAAAATTAGTTGCAAGCGAAACTAAAGTATTTTACAGTTCTATTATTTCGAAATGTATTTGATAGTGTAATGAATGCCAATTTATTTATGTAAGAACATGAACAATATTTGATTAACATGATATTTACCATGACGTCATGTGTGGCGGATAAAGTAATGTCGATTTGTCATTGGCCTTACTAAATTGTAGTGACGTCACTGCCATTTATTTTCAGTGGAACATAGACTCAGTGGCCAAGTGGTAAGGCGTTGTTCTCGTAAACCGAAGATCATGGGTTCGAACCCCATCTGAGGCTAAATTAGAAGTAGTTTTGGATTGGAAGTATTCCACAAATCTCATTTGAAGCGCCAAAACGGTGAAAAAATAAATGTCATTGACCTTCCTAAATTGTAGTGACGTCACTGCCATTTATTTTTAGTTCAACATAGCATCTGTGGCCAAGTGGTAAGGCGTTGGTCTCGTAAACCGCAGATCATGGGTTCGAACCCCATCTGAGGCTAAATTAGAAGTAGTTTTGGATTGGAAGTATTCCACAAATCTCATTTGAAGCGCCAAAACGGTGAAAAAATAAAAATCATTGGCCTTCCTAAATTGTAGTGAGTTGAATGGAAATTACCAGAAAACGGTATCTTCGCTCGATTTTATTTTAAATGAATCTTTTCTTCAACAAAAACCGCGAAAATTAGTTGCATGCGAAAATAAAGTATTTTACAGTTCTATTATTTCAAAATGTATTTGATATTGTAATGAATGCCAATTTATTTATGTAAGAACATGACATGAACAATGTTTGATTAACATGATATTTACCATGACGTCATGTGTGGCGGATACAGAGATGTCGATTTTTCATAGGCCTTCCTAAATTGTAGTGACGTCACTGCCATTTATTTTCAGTGCTCCAAAGCCTCAGTGGCCAAGTGGTAATGCGTCGGTCTCGTAAATCGAGATCATGGGTTCGAACCCCATCTGAGGCTAAATTAGAAGTAGTTTTGGATTGGAAGTATTCCATAAATCTCATTTCTCATTTGAAGCGCGAAAGGTGAGAAATAAAAACCGGGAAAAACATGGATCGTCGAAATAAGAGCTAATTGGAAGTATTCCATAAATTTCATTTGATGCGCCAAAAAGGTGAGAAAACAAAAACCGGAAAGCACATGGATGGTCGGTATAACATCTGGTTGAAAATATGACAATGGACATGAAACAAAATGACGAACTTTGAAGTACCAGAGAGGGTGCAGTTTAGAAGCACTTGCTGAATTCGGTGAACATACTGTAAACAAAAATATGTTAGCTGGGATTAATATCCGCTGAAAAGACTTTTTGGGTGTTTTGCATAATATTTATTTTCACTGATTTTGACGACTTGAATGTAAAATGCAGCTAATGAAAACGGTATATTTGTTACGATTTTATTTTAACTGAATCATTTCTTCACCGAAATCTGCGAAAATTAGTTGCAAGCGAAACTAAAGTATTTTACAGTTCTATTATTTCGAAATGTATTTGATAGTGTAATGAATGCCAATTTATTTATGTAAGAACATGAACAATATTTGATTAACATGATATTTACCATGACGTCATGTGTGGCGGATAAAGTAATGTCGATTTGTCATTGGCCTTACTAAATTGTAGTGACGTCACTGCCATTTATTTTCAGTGCAACGTAGACTCTGTGGCCAAGTGGTAAGGCGTTGTTCTCGTAAACCGAAGATCATGGGTTCGAACCCCATCTGAGGCTAAATTAGAAGTAGTTTTGGATTGGAAGTATTCCACAAATCTCATTTGAAGCGCCAAAACGGTGAAAAAATAAAAGTAATTGACCTTCCTAAATTGTAGTGACGTCACTGCCAATTATTTTTAGTTCAACATAGCCTCAGTGGCCAAGTGGTAAGGCGTCGGTCTCGTAAACCGAAGATCATGGGTTCGAACCCTATCTGAGACTAAATTAGAAGTAGTTTTGGATTGGAAGTATTCCACAAATCTCATTTGAAGCGCCAAAAGGGTGAAAAAATAAATGTCATTGACCTTCCTAAATTGTAGTGATGTCACTGCCACTTCTTTTATAGTAGCCCTAGTGGGCAAGTGGTAAGGCATCGGTCTCGTAAACCGAAGATCATGGGTTCGAACCCCATCTGAGACTAAATTAGAAGTAGTTTTGGATTGGAAGTATTCCACAAATCTCATTTGAAACGCCAAAACGGTGAAAAAATAAAAATCATTGGCCTTACTAAATTGTAGTGACGTCACTGCCATTTATTTTCAGTTCAACATAGCCTCAGTGGCCAAGTGGTAAGGCGTTGGTCTCGTAAACCGAAGATCATGGGTTCGAACCCCATCTGAGACTAAATTAGAAGTAGTTTTGGATTGGAAGTATTCCACAAATCTCATTTGAAACGCCAAAACGGTGAAAAAATAAAAATCATTGACCTTCCTAAATTGTAGTGACGTCACTGCCATTTCCTTTATCGTGGCCAAGTGGTAAGGCGTTGGTCTCGTAAACCGAAGATCATGGGTTCGAACCCTATCTGAGGCTAAATTAGAAGTAGATTTGGATTGAAAGTATTCTACAAATCTTATTTGAAGCGCCAAAACGGTGAAAAAATAAAAGTCATTGACCTTCCTAAATTGTAGTGACGTCACTGCCATTTACTTTTCGTTCAACATAGCCTCAGTGGCCAAGTGGTAAGGCGTTGGTCTCGTAAACCGAAGATTATGGGTTCGAACCCAATCTGAGGCTAAATTAGAAGTAGTTATGGATTGGAAGTATTCCACAAATCTCATTTGAAGCGCCAAAACGGTGAAAAAATAAATGTCATTGACCTTCCTAATTTGTAGTGACGTCACTGCTATTTACTTTTCGTTCAACATAGCCTCAGTGGCCAAGTGGTAAGGCGTTGGTCTCGTAAACCGAAGATTATGGGTTCGAACCCAATCTGAGGCTAAATTAGAAGTGGTTTTGGATTGGAAGTATTCCACAAATCTCATTTGAAGCGCCAAAACGGTGAAAAAATAAATGTCATTGACCTTCCTAATTTGTAGTGATGTCACTGCCATTTCTTTTATAGTAGCCCTAGTGGGCAAGTGGTAAGGCGTCGGTCTCGTAAACCGCAGATCATGGGTTCGAACCCCATCTGAGACTAAATTAGAAGTAGTTTTGGATTGGAAGTATTCCACAAATCTCATTTGAAGCGCCAAAACGGTGAAAAAATAAAAGTCGTTGACCTTCCTGAATTGTAGTGACGTCACTGCCATTTATTTTTAGTTCAACATAGCCTCAGTGGCCAAGTGGTAAGGCGTCGGTCTCGTAAACCGAAGATCATGGGTTCAAACCCCATCTGAGGCTAAATTAGAAGTAGTTTTTGATTGGAAGTATTCCACAAATCTCATTTGAAGCGCCAAAACGGTGAAAAAATAAAAATCATTGACCATCCTAAATTGTCGTGACGTCACTGCCATTTTTTTATCATAGCCCTAGTGGCCAAGTGGTAAGGCGTTGGTCTCGTAAACCGAAGACCATGGGTTCGAACCCCATCTGAGACTAAATTAGAAGTAGTTTTGGATTGGAAGTATTCCACAAATCTCATTTGAAGCGCCAAAACGGTGAAAAAATAAAAGTCATTGACCTTCCTAAATTGTAGAGACGTCACTGCCATTTATTTTCAGTTCAACATAGCCTCAGTGGCCAAGTGGTAAGGCGTTGGTCTCGTAAACCGAAGATCATGGGTTCGAACCCCATCTGAGACTAAATGAGAAGTAGTTTTGGATTGGAAGTATTCCACAAATCTCATTTGAAGCGCCAAAACGGTGAAAAAATAAAAGTCATTGACCTTCCTAAATTGTAGTGACGTCACTGCCATTTATTTTTAGTTCAACATAGCCTCAGTGGCCAAGTGGTAAGGCGTTGGTCTCGTAAACCGAAGATCATGGGTTCGAACCCCATCTGAGGATAAATTAGAAGTAGTTTTGGATTGGAAGTATTCCACAAATCTCATTTGAAGCGCCAAAACGGTGAAAAAATAAATGTCATTGACCTTCCTAAATTGTAGTGACGTCACTGCCATTTATTTTTAGTTCAACATAGCATCTGTGGCCAAGTGGTAAGGCGTTGGTCTCGTAAACCGCAGATCATGGGTTCGAACCCCATCTGAGGCTAAATTAGAAGTAGTTTTGGATTGGAAGTATTCCACAAATCTCATTTGAAGCGCCAAAACGGTGAAAAAATAAAAATCATTGGCCTTCCTAAATTGTAGTGAGTTGAATGGAAATTACCAGAAAACGGTATCTTCGCTCGATTTTATTTTAAATGAATCTTTTCTTCAACAAAAACCGCGAAAATTAGTTGCATGCGAAAATAAAGTATTTTACAGTTCTATTATTTCAAAATGTATTTGATATTGTAATGAATGCCAATTTATTTATGTAAGAACATGACATGAACAATGTTTGATTAACATGATATTTACCATGACGTCATGTGTGGCGGATACAGAGATGTCGATTTTTCATAGGCCTTCCTAAATTGTAGTGACGTCACTGCCATTTATTTTCAGTGCTCCAAAGCCTCAGTGGCCAAGTGGTAAGGCGTCGGTCTCGTAAATCGAAGATCATGGGTTCGAACCCCATCTGAGGCTAAATTAGAAGTAGTTTTGGATTGGAAGTATTCCATAAATCTCATTTCTCATTTGAAGCGCGAAAAGGTGAGAAAATAAAAACCGGGAAAAACATGGATCGTCGAAATAAGAGCTAATTGGAAGTATTCCATAAATTTCATTTGATGCGCCAAAAAGGTGAGAAACAAAACCGGAAAGCACATGGATGGTCGGTATAACATCTGGTTGAAAATATGACAATGGACATGAAACAAAATGACGAACTTTGAAGTACCAGAGAGGGTGCAGTTTAGAAGCACTTGCTGAATTCGGTGAACATACTGCAAACAAAAATATGTTAGCTGGGATTAATATCCGCTGAAAAGACTTTTTGAGTGTTTTGCATAATATTTATTTTCACTGATTTTGACGACTTGAATGTAAAATGCAGCTAATGAAAACGGTATACTTGTTACGATTTTATTTTAACTGAATCATTTCTTCACCGAAATCTGCGAAAATTAGTTGCAAGCGAAACTAAAGTATTTTACAGTTCTATTATTTCGAAATGTATTTGATAGTGTAATGAATGCCAATTTATTTATGTAAGAACATGAACAATATTTGATTAACATGATATTTACCATGACGTCATGTGTGGCGGATAAAGTAATGTCGATTTGTCATTGGCCTTACTAAATTGTAGTGACGTCACTGCCATTTATTTTCAGTGGAACATAGACTCAGTGGCCAAGTGGTAAGGCGTTGTTCTCGTAAACCGAAGATCATGGGTTCGAACCCCATCTGAGGCTAAATTAGAAGTAGTTTTGGATTGGAAGTATTCCACAAATCTCATTTGAAGCGCCAAAACGGTGAAAAAATAAAAGTAATTGACCTTCCTAAATTGTAGTGACGTCACTGCCAATTATTTTTAGTTCAACATAGCCTCAGTGGCCAAGTGGTAAGGCGTCGGTCTCGTAAACCGAAGATCATGGGTTCGAACCCCATCTGAGGCTAAATTAGAAGTAGTTTTGGGTTGGAAGTATTCCACAAATCTCATTTGAAGCGCCAAAAGGGTGAAAAATTAAATGTCATTGACCTTCCTAAATTGTAGTGACGTCACTGCCAATTTTTTTATCATAGCCCTAGTGGCCAAGTGGTAAGGCGTCGGTCTCGTAAATCGAAGATCATGGCTTCGAACCCCATCTGAGGCTAAATTAGAAGTAGTTTTGGATTGGAAGTATTCCATAAATCTCATTTCTCATTTGAAGCGCCAAAAAGGTGAGAAAACAAAAAATCGGGAAGAACATGGATGGTCGGTATAAGAGCTGGTTGAAAATATGACAATGGATATGAAACAAAATGGCGTACTTTGAAGTACCACAGAGGGTGCAGTTTAGAAGCACTTGCTGAATTCGGTGAACATACAGTAAACAAAAATATGTTAGCTGGGATTAATATCCGCTGAAAAGACTTTTTGGGTGTTTTGCATAATATTTATTTTCACTGATTTTTGCCGAATTGAATGTAAAATACAGGAAA